AGGTTTTCAAACTATGTTTTCAAGAGAATTTAAACCCTCCCAAACTCCCTCTGGGCCATCTGCAGTCAAAATCAAATTTAAAACATTTTTAATATCACTAACATACTTAAATAAGAAATATATATAAGATACTTTAAAAAAAGAATAGTTTTTATTCTATTGTTATTGTTACAAAAATAATATTAGCAGATCTGTTTTTTATTAAAAATAATGAAATAATTGATTCTTTCCTTTTCACTTTCTTTTTTAAACCATTTAATTTTTCTGAGGATAGAATGCATCTCTGGAAAAATTGCAATTTTAGAGTTTTTTCTGAATTCACAGATTTGAAGACAGTTGGATAAAAAAGCCACAATTTTTTAAATGGATGACTAAATATACCCTGGCTTTTGTTATGTTTTATGCATTAATAAATTTCCGCCCGACTGTTTATTCTTTAATTCTACCTAAAACACAATTAATCGATACTTTTTCTAATATAGAATTTTAGCATCAATTTTACATAATAACATGAGTAATCTTTTGTAATTGAATTTTATCATTATTAACAAAATACTTTGGCATTATGAACTGAGAATTTTTTCCTTGACTTTTATCTTTCAATACTTTAGGAACTGGTCATTGATTTACATCTATAATAAAAGAAATAAATGCTTTATATGTTTTAACATATTGTTAAAAATACAATAAACCTCAACTCCTTTGTTGCATGAATAATGTGAAACTTCCTGTTAAGTATTTTTTTAAGATCTTCTATGTAACAGTAGAGACTCCATGATTATTCCTTAAAATTGGAAGTATCAGAAATAGATGTAAATATGTATTGTCTTCTGCATTAACTTACAAAAATAATAGTGTGAATATCTGAATGGAATTATATGAAAGAGCTACAGGACACTATGTTTTCACGATGGTCATTCCACTATACTGGAAATATTAAATCAAACAATGAGTGCACGAAAAGATTCAGTAAGAGGATATTCTCTCTTCTGTAACAATACATTTGACTGCAGTTGTTCCATATGATATTTCTATACAACATCCCAAAATCTTGGTAAATAACTTTCTAAATTAAGTTTACAGTGTAAAAAAAGTAGTGGAAAAATGTTGTAGTCATGTAACTGGGCTACCATACATAAAAATTAAGCAGTGTTACAAGTGTTTTTGTCTTAACTGCCTGTTACAACCAAATAACTAGATACAAGAAAGGACATGCAGTGTCAGTACAGCTGGATGATCCCTTTTACAGAGTTCCTAATTTGAAAACAAGTTAACCAGTAAAACTACCCTTCATACTGGTTTGCTTTAGATTCATTTGGTAACAAATATGCCCTTAAAGTCTGTACCAATCAATCAAGCAATAAACTTTGTTACAAGCAAGTTTTTGTTTGCAGGATGTTGTTCATAATCGGTTTTCTTTTGGTGGTATAGTAACGCGAAGGGAGAAAGATTCCGGGCAATTTAAATTCAACTAACATAACAAATTCCATTCTTCTGTAACTTTATAATTTGATACAGCTTTATTTTTCAGAATTTTATTCATACTACTATTTCATCCATTGCAGAAAAATTCCACAAGTGCATATTTGAAAATTAATTAAAAATTTGAGTTATAAAACTCATTCTAACTTGGACAAATGCATACAAAAAAGGGAAAAAAAAATACAAAAATGGTGATGCTGCTTATTAAAAATTGAAGCATTGTTATATGCACATACACATGGTTGACACAGTTTGGTGCAACTTGCTAAATTTGTTGTGGTAATATGGTAGCAAAAAATTTTTTTTGTCATTTTGTATTAAAATTATTAAGGTGTTGACGGCTAGCTAAGTTACACAAAGCAAGGTAACGTACAGTGAGAGCTGTGTACCTTAGGCAAAAGAGGATGCCTTTGAGAAGGTCTTCTTACATGAGAAATTGACTTGTATTCACTTATATATCAGGAGAAACAGGAAAATTCCCATGCAGCTATCCCATTCCAACCAGTATTTGTACCTGGATCTAACATCCAGTGTTCAGCTATCTTATCTGCTAGTCCTATTGATGCTAAAAGTCAAAATAGACAATAATGTGATTTATACACACAAGAGCTAAGTAGCATTCATTGACTTATACATCACTAAAGAAATATATACATTTCAGAAAACTTTCCTGTTTTCCTAAAAGTTCAGTATCTTTCATTATTATAACTTCCTGATATTTCAATGCATGTAATTTTATGGTGACTATTAATTAAATAAAACAATATTTTTTTTGAATTGGTTGTGTTTAATTATAACATTATTTTGAAAAACGTTGTTCATGGTAAAACTAAAGAATGAATTTTCTTTATACACTGACTGTTAAATTATTACATTTCAAATCAACAGATTGCAATTATGCAATAAGACAGGATGAAAAATACAGTAGTCATTGAAACAATTGTTGAGTTTCTGAAGAAACAACAATAAAAATTTTCAAATCTAACACAGTATACCTTGTTAACAGTATACCTTGTTTAATGTTTAATATAGTATGGAATGTTTTGTGAAGCATCAGCTATTTAAAAAAAGTATGCAATAGCTGACAATGAAACCAAATAAAAATCAAACAGAACTCTATTACACGTTATGCAACAAAATTAATGAATATGAACGTCTATAAACTTTTTTTTTTTGCTTGGACTAGATCTCAAATCATCAACTAGATATTAGTTGCAATATTAGATATTAGCAATAAAATTAATAAAAATTTATGTTGATAAGTACTTAAGAACAAATAGAACAAAATGGCCAAACTTTCAACTAGATAACCAAATAAACCGTTTACGTTCTAGAGGATTTTATTTACTTCACATACATACATACATACATTATCTTTACATTTACTTTCATAGCTCGTATCATACATAACATACTCTTATCATCGAATGATTTTCTATAGTAAGCAAATTTCTTTAACAGTTTCCACTTCGTGTCTGCAAAGTATTCCTTTAAATCGCAAGGTTTCGCGATATTCATTTTCCTTCTGACAAAGTTCATACACGAATCCAAAACATTAAAACCTTCGTCATCGATAAGCAACGGCCATTTCATTATCGATGACATAGTTTGCCTATCGATAGTAAAAGGAAAGTTTGGGCCATCCGAAAAAGCGGCGACCCAAAGAATATGTTCAAATTTCTTTGACTGCGTCACGTAACAGAAGACCACGCCCACAAGCTGATGTCATCGAGAAGTCTAATTTAATTGGCTAGCTACATGAGGGTACAGCGCGGAGTCTAGCTTCTCGTTGCGATTAGCCACTGCGGCGACTAAGTGAATGTTGACATTCACCGGTGAAAGTCGATATTCTCCAGTGGACTTCTAATTCATCTCTAGATTTAAATCCATAACGGTCCTCCTTCCTTTTCTTTAGCTATGCTTGTCTCTTAATTATTCAGTATTTCTTAACGAAGTTGTGGAGGTAATTGCATTTATTTGCAAAGGTACTGCAGAAGCCATCGCCTTGGGCCGTAACATATATACACTTTTCCTTCGTACCCAAATTTGACTTTTCACCCTTCCATCTAAAGGACGTAGCAGCTGCAAAATAGTGATATCTGTATCTGTATCAAAGAGTCTATTCAGCTAGAGATTCATTGTCTGTATTTCGTCTCTCTCCAAGCTGTTTTCGGCAGTATTAGCTATTTTCTCCGCTATTTCTGATAAGGAATATCCCCAAAAGCTCAGATAAAAACTCTCAGGTGGTTATAGCCCTAAAGAAGAACCATGTTCCATTCCCATTGCCAAAATGCTTTCCATAGTTTGAGCAGTAAAATTGGAATTTGCTTCGTGCAGATGCACATAACAGTACATTTCAAAAGTACTTGGATGAATGTAATTTAAATATTCATATCTGTGTGCATGTGGAAAGCATACAGTACGTCCACCTATTCATTATTTCATAATCATAAATTAACTGTACTGAATTAAATACAAGAAGTTTATGTATACATAATAAGAAAAATATATTGATATTTATACAAAGATAATCATTTTTGTATTCATGCAAGTTAGGGAAGGATAGTGTCTAAGAGGTGATTTCAGTAACATTTAAATTATCTAATCTGATTCATATTTATGCCAAAGATGAACTGTATGATAAGATATATAACTGTGTGAAATAAACATGTGCACATCTATGCAGAAAGAAAGCTTCAAATATTTAAGGTGTGTTACTAGTCATTTTGGGAAGAAAAGTTGAAAATCTTATATACTTGTGGAAAAATAAGTTTCTGTGATATGTAACTTGTTATTTAGACAAAAGGTTATCTTAAGCGTGCATGTGTTTCTTTCCACACGTGCACCACACACACACACAAAAAAAAATATCACATCTGTGTAAAGTATGTAATATTTAATTTGAAAAAAACAAGTATTAAAAATGTATAGAGGATCTCAGAATGGTGACCACATGTGTGTGCAATGTTTAACATGACATTTAGAGTAAATGATAATGTGCATAAGGAATTCAAAAAGTCATTTAGAGTATAAATAAGTATATAATAAATTAAGTATAAATTAAACAAGTACATGCTTTTTCACACAGGAGAGTAACCTCATGTGTGTCAGATATGCAAGAAGTCATTTTGTGAAATGTGTACATTAACCAGGCATATGCTTATTCACACAGGAGAAAAACCTCATGTGTGTGAGATATGTAAAAAGTCATTTATAGAAAAGTGCACTTTAAACAGACATATACTTATTCACACAGAAGAGAAACCTCATGCATGTGAGGTATGCAAAAAGTCATTTAGAGAAAAGTATAAATTAAGCAGGCATATGCTTATTCACTTAGGAGAAAAGCCTCATATGTGCGAGATATGTAAAAAATTATTTAGAGAAAAGAGTGCATTAAACAAGCATATTTCTATTCACACACAAGAGAAACCTCATATGTGCGAGATATGTAAGAAGTCATTTAGAGAAATATGTATGTTAAACAAGCATTTGCTTATTCACAGAGAGAAATCTTGTGTTCGTGAAGAACGTAACATATCATTTAGACAGAAGGATGATTTAAACAAACATATGCTTGTTCATATAGGAGAGAAACCTCATATCTGTGAGGTATGTGAAAAGACATATAGTGGAAGGTATAAATTAAACAGACATATGCTTATTCACATAGGAGAAAATCCTTATGTGTGTGAAGTATGTAAGAAGTCATTTAGACAAAAGGCTGGTTTAAATGGGCATATGCTCATTCACACAGGAGAAAAACCACATTTATGTGAAATATGTAATAAGTCCTTTAGAGAAAAGGGTGATATTTTAAAGCATATGTTTACTCACACAGGAGAAAAACCTCATGTATGTAATGTGTGTAACAAATTATTTAGAAGAAAGCATAACTTGACCATACATATGCTTATTCATTCTGGAGAAAAACCCAATATATGTGAGGTATGCAACACTTCATTTAGATTTAAGAGTGTTTTACGTAAACACATGCTTGTTCACACAGGAGAGAAACCTCATGTGTGTGAGATATGTCAGAAGTCATTTAGAGAAAAGTTTTGTTTAAACAAGCATATGCTTATTCACACAGGAGAGAAACCTCATGTCTGTGAAATATGTAACAAGTCATTTAGAGAAAAGGCTGTTTTAAACAAACATATACTTATTCACACAGGAGAGAAACCTTATGCATGTGAGGTATGTAACAATTTATTTAGAGAAAAAAGTGCCTTAAGCAAACATATGCTTATTCATACAGGAGAAAAGCCTCACATATGTGAGGTATGTAAGAATTCATTCAGATACAAAGGTGCTTTAAATGAACATATGCTTATTCACACAGGAGAGAAACCTTATGTGTGTGATGTATGTAATAGTTCATTCAGATACAAAGGCGCTTTAAACAAACATATGCTTATTCACATGGGAGAAATGTCTTAGGTATGCAAGATTTATGGGAAATTGTTTGGATAAATGTGTTATTTATAAACCTGTATATGTATGGTTTGTATCTTTTGGAGAGAGGTAATTTAATGAGAACTCTCACTTATCCATTCTGAAAGGTATTATGTGTACTTTGGGAAAACTATGTATGTCGACCTCTAAGTGAAGAATGGTACATGTCATTTTAACTAAAGTCTGTTATAAGAAAGCATATACTGTTACATATAGGAAAGATTCCCAATTATATGATATATCTAGCATGTGATTTGGGTTAAATAGATTGTTGATTTTATATGGTATATTTAACAAGGCTTTATCATGAAAGATAAGCTTAAAGTAACATGTATGTTGACTGATTTAAAAGTTTTGAAACTAATTCTCCTTTACAGAATTGGATGATAAAGAGTCCTGTATTTTCCTTGTGTATTAAATTTATGTTCTAAACAATGACTTACACATTTAGCAGCGATTTTTTTAAATAACATCGAAATATAAAATAGCGAGTTTTCTGACTTGCTGTTTAGCAACTGGACGTGGTGTTTATTATATCCTCATCTAATGAGCTCTTCAGGAATCACATATCAGTGAATCTAGGTTTTGTGATGTATTTTCTAATATTAACAAACCAATTTGTGACAGCATTTTCAATAGCAAAGATGCTATATTCAGTCACTCATTGTCTTGTAGTTAAACTACCGATTCTTAATCAGGTCTGGTTCTTCCTGGCTTTATCATTTCAGTGATATAGAATGAATTGTCTTTTCACTGAAATAGTGTAGCATTGCATGCTAAATGTTTTATTAACCCTGTATATACTCTAATGTTTCAAGTGCTGTGTGTTAATATAGCTCTTTCCATGTTTAATCCTTAACATGTTAGATGCTGTCCATGAGAACTGTTTCATTTGTTAATCTCCTGATAACTTTAAAAATGAATTACCTCTCACTCCATGCCATCTATCTAATCTATTTACAGACTTATTACTGCAATTCTGCTTGCAGTGAATGTGTATTATGAGATTTTGATGGTTGATCTTTACATTATGGTAACTTGGCGTTTTTTTGGCGAAAATTTGGTGACCAACTCTCCTACAGCAACCCTCTATTTTTTTTTCCCGCCGCCATTTTGTCTTCACGAAGTAAAGACATGTTTCTTTTCTTTTTATCTACTGAACACTTCTTCCAACAATCTACTAGCCGAATTACACTTATGCTAGAAATTTTATCTAACAAAACTGCTTAATCATGACAAATATTCACTGCAAAATTGGGAAAAAGTGCACAATACCATACTCCTTACGCGTTTTTCAAAATAACACATACACATAAACCATGTACACGCCGACTTATTTTTACTTAAATAAACATCCCAGAATTGCACAAAAATGGCATTGCGCACACTCTTCACTATATCCATGTACACTGCTTTTTTCTCATAAATTAGAAAAATTTCACGAAAATACATGACAATTTTTTCAATCTTTAAACCCGGTAAAAAGAACATATATGAAATTACCTGATCGCGAAAAAGTATTTACCCTTTCCAAATATGAACATTTCCACATATAAATTAAATAAAATATCCAAAAACTTTTACCTCTAAATCATCTATTACATTATACACGTCACCAACGAATTCATACCGCAAGTATTACAAATACTTAGTATCAGATATTTAAATTATTTCCATGCACGTTTACTTCAACTTAAACGTGTACCAAATTCCTACAAACATAAAATTCACAAAATAACTATCATTTAATTAAAATATCACTAAACCATGTACACGCCGACTTATTTTTACTTAAAAAAACATCCCAGAATTGCACAAAAATGGCATTGCGCACACTCTTCACTATATCCATGTACACTGCTTTTTTCTCATAAATTAGAAAAATTTCACGAAAATACATGACAATTTTCTCAATCTTTAAACCCGGTAAAAAGAACATATATGAAATTACCTGATCGCTAAAAAGTATTTACCCTTTCCAAATATGAACATTTCCACATATAAAATAAATAAAATATCCAAAAACTTTTACCTCTAAATCATCTATTACATTATAAATTATTTTACAGACTTATTACTGCAATTCTGCTTGTGGTGAATGTGTATTATGAGATTTTGATATTTGAATAACCTTTCATTGGATGCAGTCTGTCATGTTAAATATTAAGGAGCATCTGCACAATGAAAACTCTAAAATGACATATGTTACAGTGAGAAAGACTCCAGTGAAACTATATTGAGATATTTAAATGAAGTGTAGATGTATGTTTAAGAAATATGGAATCAAAGGATAAAACTATATTTAAGGGTGCCCCTTGGCGAAAATTGCCGATAGGCCAGCAAGGCACAGTTTCAAGATGGCCACTACACAAAACCAAAATAACAAGTCAAAGAATTGAAGAAACTCGGTGTTCATGTACACATCGATCTATTTTCACTTAAAAACATCAGAGAATTGCACAAACTTGGCAATGCACACTGACTGGACTTTGTCTATGCACACATTGATCTATTTTCAATTAAAAATCAAAGGAGCACCCAATTCTGCTCTGTAGCCAAACAAAAAATATATAATCTCGATAGACTGCATTTTAAATCAAACAATGAAGTAACATAAAAAATTAAATACATCTTATCGCATCTACACGCTACACAAAGCAAATATCTACTTAACGTTATTTAGATATTTCTGTATCTTCAGTCTGTGACACACAAAATTTCATCATCAAACAGCATCCAAAAACTTTCTTCAAACCATGTTCCCTTTCTAATGGAACACTTTATATCGTGAGCACTTGAACCTTTCTTGCAACAAACCCATTCAAAGCCATCTGAATGATCTTTACATTCGACCTTACGCATTTCCTTTGTACAAACAAGATACTTATAATTCTGTTGAATTATATCCAACAAAGTTTCTCTTCTGTTTTCAGCCACTTAAAAAATAACACCTCCTGCTCTCTCCTTCTATACCACCAAACACCCAGTTTACCACCAGCAGCCATTTTACAAGGCAGAGCACACAGTACGCAACATACTTCCTAACTGTCTTCCAATGCAGAAATAAGCCCTTACAAATATTTTCCCGCCAGTCAAATTCACCACAATCATGCAACCAATCATGTCATAATAGGGTTTCCGTTACTTTTAACTATTTAGGTTATCATAGATAATACAGCAACTTAATGATAAATGAAAGAACAAGTTGGCGATAATCAAGGGGCACCCTAAAATCTAGGCTAACCAATCAAAGTGTTTCAGAGGATGGATTTATTGTATCTAAAAAGAAGGTATTGGCAAAAGAGAAACAAAAGTATTCATGGAATGTGTGTTTGATGAATATAAATATTTATGTGAAAAATACTACCAAAGGAAAAATTAATCATGTGCAAGTGCAAGGAAATAAAAATAATCTTAAAAGAGATATTTTTTAAAGGAAGGATTTGAAAAAAGTGTAGAACTATTTTCTCTGTAACAGCATTACATTGTGTATCAGTAGAAGCCAAATTAACATCCATATTGGTCCAAGGAATATGGAATAGCAATTGCCTAGTGTTTGCTTGCTTTATGATTCTGAGTAATTCATATTTTTCAGAAAACGTGACACCAGTAGATGAAGATTTAAATTTTGAAATATACTTAATCTTCCCTTTTGTCTTTCTTATTCTCCTTTACACAATTTTTTTTGGGAGGGGGCATAGGATAAGGTAATTCCTCTATTTACAATTAAAAAAAAATAACTTACCAGCAGTGCTGTAAACTCAAATCCAATATCTGTATACAACTCTATAAAGATTTAGAACATACTGCTGTTTCTGCTTTTTACTATTTTGATATTTGATGTTTTCTTTTCACCGTGGCTTTTGCAAGAGAAAATGGGGTTGATCTTTACAATATGGTAACTGGTAGTTTGGCGACATTTTGGAGGCGATAAAGGTTACTACCTGGGACTTTGGTAATAATGTGAGCAGTACTCAGTTCCGATTACGCATTATTTTGTGTGGGGGAAATGAGAGATCATGGGATATGTCATGTGATATTAATGGACGAATTACGGTTCTTTAATCGGAAAAGGGGGGAATTTGGACAAGTATCTGTGGATGTATATTATTTTGTATTAAGCTTCATTGTGTGTTTGTGTGAAGTAGGGTTGAATAATTTTGGGATTGTATGGCGCTGTCTAAAGTGAATTGTAGATGTGATAAAGAGAATTTTTTTTTTATCAAATTCGGAAAAAAAATCGTTCAGTAATTTTATTGAATCCATAATAAAAGTGTATGCACCATGTAAGGAAGATTCGGAAGAAGATTAGGTTAGTTAGACTTTGTTAAGAATGTGAGTAGTATTCAGTTCTGATTACGCATTATTTTGTGTGAGGGAAATGAGAGTCATGGGATATGTTATGTGATATTAATGGACGAATTACTGTGTCTTTAATCGGGAAAAAATCTGGCAATTTTGTTATTGGCTTATTCTGTGTTGTGTGAAATAGTGTTTGTGAATTTTTTTATCCAATGGCCGTAACTAAAGTGAATTCGAAATGGGTATTTAGTGGTATTGAAAAGGATAGTAATAAATGTTTTTTAAGGTTGTGCGAGAGAGAAATAAAGATGTTTTATTATGTTATTTATTTTACCTGGTATCTTGCTTTGAAAGATAAGTATGATTTTAAAGATTCTGAAACAGAAGTAAGAAAAGTGTATCCGCCACGTAATCAAGATTCTGAAGAAGATTAGGTAAGTTTGTATTTTTAATTATTTGAGGATATTATTTTTATGCATTGTTGGTGGAAAGGAATTTGGTATTATTGGGAAAATTGTTATTAGCAATGATTTAGTTTAAAGTAATTAGGATTGTAAGGTAATTTTTATTAATTTAATGTATGTGCTCATTTATATTAAGTAGTGTTTTTGAATTAATTATATTTTAATGAAATGATAGTTATTTTGTGAATTTTATGTTTGTAGGAATTTGGTATACGTTTTAGTTGAAGTAAACGTGCATGGAAATAATTTAAATATCTGACCCTAAGTATTTGTAATGGTTGCGGTATGAATTCGTTGGTGACGTGTATAATGTATAGATGATTTAGAGGTAAAAGTTTTTGGATATTTTATTATTTTATATGTGGAAATGTTCATTACTTTTTCGCGATCAGGTATTTCATATATGTTTTTTTTTACCGGGTTTAAAGATTGAGAAAATTGTCATGTATTTTCGTGAAATTTTTGTAATTATGAGAAAAAAGCAGTGTACATGGATATAGTGAAGAGTGTGCGCAATGCCATTTTTGTGCAATTCTGGGATGTTTTTTTAAGTAAAAATAAGTCGACGTGTACATGGTTTAGTGATATTTTAATTAAATGATAGTTATTTTGTGAATTTTATGTTTGTAGGAATTTGGTATACGTTTAAGTTGAAATAAACGTGCATGGAAATAATTTAAATATTTGATACTAAGTACTTGTAATACTTGCGGTATGAATTCGTTGGTGACGTGTATAATGTAATAGATGATTTAGAGGTAAAAGTTTTTGGATATTTTATTTAATTTATATGTGGAAATGTTCATATTTGTAAAGGGTAAATACTTTTTCGCGATCAGGTAATTTCATATATGTTCTTTTTACCGGGTTTAAAGATTGAGAAAATTGTCATGTATTTTCGTGAAATTTTTCTAATTTATGAGAAAAAAGCAGTGTACATGGATATAGTGAAGAGTGTGCGCAATGCCATTTTTGTGCAATTCTGGGATGTTTTTTTAAGTAAAAATAAGTCGGCGTGTGCATGGTTTATGTGTATGTGTTATTTTGAAAAACGCGTAAGGAGTATGGTATTGTGCACTTTTTCCCAATTTTGCAGTGAATATTTGTCATGATTAAGCAGTTTTGTTTGATAAAATTTCTAGCATAAGTTTAATTCGGCTAGTAGATTGTTGGAAGAAGTGTTCAGTAGATAAGAAGAAAAGAAACATGTCTTTACTTCGTGAAGACAAAATGGCGGCGGGGAAAAAAAATAGAGGGTTGCTGTAGGAGTGTCGGTTGCCAAATTTTCGCCAAAAAATCGCCAAGTTACGATAATGTAAAGATCAACCGAAAATGGCTGCAATTTGAGTTTAAGAAAGTGCAATTTGTTGCTGATTTTTTTTAAAACTGCTATGAAAATGAAGCTGACTAAACGGTGTAAACTGTCAATTGGGGAAAAATTTGATATCTATGCAACACATTTTAATTAAGTATATGCACAAAAATAATTTAATGTTAATTGTATTTTCTTTTAATATAGTTTTTCAAGCAGTTTGTTTAAAAAAAACAATGTGTATGAACATGTTCAATAATTCATTTTTAACAGACTTTGAGTTGGCCATAGTACAATAAGTTAATACATTTAGTTATCACAATAGTTACACTGCTGAGAAGTTAATACAATAGTTATCACTGCTGAGAAGCTACCTAGGCATGCATTTCCCTGAATAAAGCATTATTAGGTGATGGTGAAACCTACTCATCTTTTTTCTGTTTAACCATTTCAGTGATCTCCATACGTATTCTACTTTTCAGCTGTAGCAATTTTCTTCCATGAATGCAGATATTAAATAGCAAGCATGTTAAATGCAACTGAATTCTGGTAATCTGTATTCCATTTCCAGATGTAAACAAACAATTCAGGTTAGAGTTGACTTTAGGGTACTCCTTCTATTATAGCGTTTCATTTATCACCAAGTTGTTTCATTTATCACCAAGTTGTTTCATTTATGGTAATCTGAGTAGTTGAATGTTATGGAAACCCTATTCTGATGTAATCGTTTGCGTTATTCTGAGAAATTGTGAATCATGGGGTGTTTTGTAAGGTCTTTTGTGATGTGTGTGTTTAGGAAATACATTACTTGTTTCATTGTTTAGACGGTAGAATGGCTGAATGTAGTAAGATTAAGTTGAAGTTTCTGTATGATTTGGAACGAAAGGGGAAAAGGGCATTAATTGACTGGTATTTAAATGAAAGTTTACTTAAGCCATTTTTCGGAGAGTCCGGAACACATAGTATGTTTTTGACTCTTATTTTTGTGAATTTATGCCGCCGATATACGGATTCTAGTTCAGATAATTTTAGG